AGGGTGTCAATCACCGTCCGCCCCGCCCCGCGCGCCGTCGGCCCCGCCCCTCCACTCCTCCTTTCTTCCCCCGGGCCGCCCTATCCGGTGGGCGTGTCCGGCCCGCCCGCGGCCGCCCTATGAACTGGGAGCTGCCTGGCCGTAGCCACGCCCCCCGCCAGCGTTCGCCGCGCCAGCTGCCGCCCGGGCTCCATTGAGAAAAAGCGCGCGCGCGCAGAGGGCAGGTCTGGCGGCGGCGGCGGCGGCGGCGGGAGGAGGGGGCGGAGGAGGAAGAGGAGGCGGAGGAGGAAGAGGCGGAGAGCAGCCCGAGCAGGGAAGCCGGCGGCCGGTGCCGGGTCGCCAGCAGGGCGCCGCGGAGGGAGCCGGCCAGCCCGCCTGCCCAGCCAGCGCTGCCTCTGCCCGCCGCTCACCCTGGGAGCGCCGGGTGGGCATGAGCGCCGCCCGCCTCGCCCTCGCCCTGCCCCTGCAGCCGCCGCCGGAGGGACTCGGAGCCGCCGCCCCGCGATGTCCAGGAGGAAGCAGAGCAAGCCCCGGCAGATCAAACGTGAGCCCGCCTTTCCCCGGCCCGCCCGCCCGCCCTCCTCCCCCCCCCCTGGCCGAAGTTGGTGGGGGTCCCGGCTCTGTCCGGGGCGGGGGGTTCGCCTGGGCTGCCGGCGCCCCGACACCCGGACGATCCCCGCCGTCCCCACCGAGAGCCGCGCCAACTTTGCCTCCGCCCGCCCCGAAAAGCAACTTTAACTGCTGGCTCCGTTCGGGGGTCCCGCCGGCGCTGCCCCTCCGCCCCCTCCCCAGGCCCGGCGCGGCGGGGGCTTCCTGGCGGCTGCCCGGAGCAGGGAGGGGGGCCGGGGCTGCGGCTGCCCCCCCCGCTGCCCGCAGTGATTGACGGCGCCCGTCCCGCTGCCAGGCAGGCGAGCTGGGCCAGGCGGGGCCGGGGAGGCGCCCCCTTTTCCCCGGGCGGGGGTCGTCCTTGGCCTGCCGCTCCGCCTCTGGCCGCTTGCCCGGCGCGATCGCCGCCCCGATAGAGCCGCCCCGATGAGAGCCGCGATAAGCCCTTAAAATATTCCTTTCTGCGAGCCCCGCCGAGATAAGATCGCCCTGTCGGGACGGGCTGAAATTACGATCTTATCTCGCGCTTGACTCACTCCCGTTTCTTGCGCTGGGAAGTTTCATCTGGAGGGACTTTTGCAGATGAGAGAGGGAGGGAGAGGGAGAGGAAGGAAGGAAGGAAGGAAGGAAGGAAAGAAAGGGCGAGAGGAGCCGCGTGGAGCGAAGCGTGCGGTGGAACTCCGAAGCCGGCACACGGCAGACCTTAAACCTGGAGAGCTGATGCGGGAAGCCACATCCATCTGGGGCCCTTCTAAGCGCGCCTCCTTTCTTTGCCTCCTTTGTTCGACCTGACCCAGAGAGAGCCCACCTGAGTGGGGGGGGGGGTAGCCTCCCGGTTCCCAAGAGACCTGGAGTCAGGCTTTTCTCTTGGCAGTTCCTGATAAAATCCCTCTTGCAAAGATGCCAGGCTGACCCGGAGTTTCTGCTGTGGGAAAGCAGGTAGAGGGGGCTGCGGAGGAAGCGGGGGGGGGGGAGGACGGGGTGGCGGTGCCTTTTAGTATCAACCAGAAAAACTTTTCCACTGGCAGGTTTGTCTGCTTTTCACGTCCCTCCCTCTCTCTCTCTCTTTCTCTCTCTTTCCTTCCTGAACAGATCTCCACATTGATAAGGCCGATTGAGATCTCTGGATAGTGCAGTTCACCCCCACCCCGGTGATAATGCGCTTTTATCTTCACCAGGGGAAATAATTGCCATTCTAAGCCGCATCTACCTGTTTGCCTGCTCAGGTGATTTGTTCCAAAGATAAGATCCAGGCAAACTTTTTTTTCTTCTTCTTCAAAAAATTGGATGAAAGTTCTTCTTGTCCTCCATCCCCACCCCATTTGGATTCCATTAATTGTTTTCTGGATCTCTGGCTGTTCTTGCAATATTCCTTGCTTCTTCCTTCCCTGGGCTGATAATGAAATGATTCTCTGCCCTGAGCCAGATTTGTGTAATCAGGTAGATCTAGTGGATTGTTCTCAGTGGATTAAGATGAGATATTGGGGTGGGGGGCACAGTAAAGGTAACCCCCTAACAGAGGGCATCTTCTGTCATACAGGGTGGGGGAAGTGGCAGGACTCTAAACCAGAGGAAAGGCTGGTTTATTTGTTGACGTATAAATTTAATAATACATAATAAGCTCCTTTGTTTATGCTGCTGTCAGGCCTAAGCACCTTCTTCCTGGTAGTTCAGTCCTGGAGTTGATGGACACCTGAGAATTTCTGGGTTTAACCCTGACTGGAGTCCCCGAAGAAAGAGTTTGCAGAGGGTTACCTTAACCACAATCTCACCCACTTTTCTGAATGTCCACCGTACGCTGAACCACGTAGTAGGTTAATGTATGTTTGCAGAACAGGTATTATGCTAAGATGTTGGGTGATTCCGTATGTCAAGGCTGACCTGATTCAGATGTCGCACACTCAGCTGCAAGGTGTTTGCTTTCGACTTTCCATGAACCCGGCATAACAAACCATAATTGAGCTAAGGGTGTGAGTAGCACCAAAATAATCCCCACGGCTGATGTTTGATGCTTTGGGGATTGGTTTCTCTCCCCTTCTCTCCCCCCCTGGCGAGTTGGAAGTTGTTGGGGATGTGAATCAACCCCTTCAGCTCAAGAAAGCTTCTGCCTTTTAACTGAATGAGTTGGAGAAGGTGTTACTGGCTGCTTTGGATTGGGGGGGGGGGGTTTGCATTGGTGTAAGACACCGAAGACTCTGAGGATCTGGAGCAGCAGAAGACCCTGGCTCCTCCTGGGGTCTCAGTCCTTCCTTCCCAGCAGGTCTTGTGCTGCTCCCCTCTTTCGACCCACCTCTCTTCCTCTTTCCCCTTTCAAATCTGCTTTGCCCAGCAAGAGTTGTTAGCTTCCTCCCAGCCACATTAACTGGCAGCCCTTCCTAGCCAGCCCTGCCTGGCCACCTCCGCTTCCGAGGGAGGGGGCAGAGGGGGATCCGAAGATGGATCGGGCCCTTTGTTGAGCCAGGCAGTTCTGGGCTCCCAGCCTCTGCCTTATCCAGCCGCTTTCTGGAAGGGAGAAAGACCAAGGACTGGGATTGGGGGCCAGAGAGGGGTAGCCCAAACCAGTGGGGGGAATGCGGGGGGGGACGACCTCTGGCTCCGGGGCCCCTTCCTGGGAAATGCAAAGCAGGAAAATGCACGCAGAGGAGAGGGGGAGAGAGTTTGGGAAGGGGAGTTCTCATTTTGCTTGTTTGTGTTTCTTGTGTCCATCAGAGTAAAAGAGCAGCTGCCCCTTCCTTGTTTTGGCCAAAGGCCCGGAGGAGGTCATCTGGGTCTCCTCGGCTCAGAGCTGCTGAGTTGCTTTGCGGGCTTCCTGGCTGTGCTTCGGTTTGGCCGAGGCTCCCCCCCCCCTTGCCCGGTGCTGGATGTGAGATGCTGATAATGTTGAAAGAATGGGAGATCGTTTTCAGAGGGAGGAAGTCTGTGATGGGCCAAAGCTGATTAGATAAGGATCGGCTGCTGGACTATATTTAACCCGTGAGTTGGTGCCATTTTATATTGGATGGCTGGCGAGATAGGCAGCTGTTTGTTTGTCCTTGGAGGGATTGTGCCCGTTGTCCGAAAACACCGGATTCCAGGATAAATATCTTCCTGGCCCTTCCCTTTAGAGATGATCACGTCTGCCTGTCCTGGGACAATTCACAGCAGCCCCCCCCTTGAGATAAAAATATTTATCTCTTGGTGATCACCCATGGAGAAGACTTCCGCCCTTGTCCCGGCCACCTCCTAGGACCTAGGCTTTGAAAAGAGCTTTTGGCCCTTGACCAGGGTCTCCATGGGGAGCATCCAACCAGCCCTAATTTTGGTCCTTCCTGGAAGAGTAAATCTCAGAAGGCCAGGCAGATGTTGCCATGTGACCCGGAGCCTCCTTCCAAAATTAAGTCTAATGGAGCATAGGAGAATCAACCCTGTCCTAAGACTCCCCAGTCAAGACACCCCCCCCCAATCTTCTCTCCGTGGAAGTTCAGTAAGAAAGATTCTCCCTAGAAGCAGGGGTCTTCAAATAGCGTCTTTATATTTAGTTCCTGCGTAATTTTAATTGTTCCTATATTTGTAATTGTTTTCATATATTGCTGTTTAGTAGCTGTAAGCCATCCAGAAAATGAGATGTGTGGCATATAAACTTAATAGTGAATAAATAATAAATCTTCAGCTTCTAGAACTAACTCACCGGTTTGGGGTGCTTTCAAGGGAAAGGGGCACGGGACCAGGTTATTTGAGGGCCTGCCTGCTCCCATCAGATCTGGCAGGAGACCCCTGCGCTGGGTTCCATCTTTTGGAGTGGGGTAGAACCCCTCTTCTCCTCTGGTACCCACCCACTCTTGAGAACCCCATCCCTCCAAATATCAGAGTGGCCCCAAACCTGCCGGCTTTTTGCAAGGCCTTATAGATGGACTTTGGGATCCAGATGTGCAGCAGAGCTCATGCAGTGATTGTGGATTAGCTGCCCAGTCCTGAATTTGAAATGGGGGAAACCCTAGACCTGGAAATAAATAAATGAACCAGGAGGAAGATCAGCTCAGCCTGGCTGTGAGGGGCTGGTTAAATCAAGAATTTTGTGTTGGGACTAACAGCTGCAAGATTGATCAAGCTCTCCTGCGGGTCTCATAGAGGGAGTGCAACTCTTGTGGATTGTGGGGATTCGGGGCAGGTTCCTGAAATGAGTGCGGTCTCCCATTTGGCTAAAGCTCACCTGGCTGGCAAATTATTATTCAAGACATTGGAGACCTGGTCCAAGAACCTGGAGCTTGAAGGACATGTGACCCGTAGCATCTTCTTCGAGCAGCTGCTCACATGAGCCCACAGCCTTACCCATCTGCTTGGGGCACCCCTCCTCCTCCTCCTCCTCCTCCTCCTCTCTTTCTGGGGAGTTGAGAGAGAGTTATAGAGAAAGTAGAATGGAGGATGTCGGCTGGCCCCCTGAGATTAGGCTGCACCCTGATTGGATTCCCAAACACCTCATGATCTCTCCTACGTCACCTGTGGGACCTTTCAGTGAGAGCAGTGGCCATGGAGAATGGAAGGTATCCTTCCAAACCTCTGGAAGTCCCAGGTGGATTAGTCCAGAGGGTACTAAAAAGGTACTGAGACCTCAAGAAGCATCTTCCTGTGACCTTTTTTCCTGCTTCTCCCTCGGGCCCATCCCTGCCGCCTCCTTCCTCAAGGCTGGGTGGAGATTGGGACGGCTAATCCCTCGCCCTGGGAGAGTTGAAGGGCTTCATGAGCCCCCTGCCTGGTTTTCCCTCTCCTGAGGACCTTCTGGGCCCATCATTCTGCCCATGCCAGGCTCTCCCAAGAAAAGGGCTCCATCCTGATCTGGGCACAAAGATCCCCCCACTTATTTCTGGAATATGGGAAGAGGGTCTCACAAATCGTGACCAAAAGAAGCTTCCTGGCTAATTTCTTCCATGACTTGTGTGGACAGAATGGGAAGCTGTTGCCCATATGCTGGTGGTTAGCCATGTTAACTTGCTTGGAGGTCAGTGGGGCCAATTTGGTGACTTTACACACACACACACACACACACACACACACACACACACACACACGGGCCCTCCTGTGCTGCAGGTAATCCAAGGGGCAGGATGCCCACTAGCAGTTTGGCCACTCTTGACTCGGACTGCTGCTTCCTCCAGGGCTGGAAAGAGTTGAGTTGTAGCATTAAAGGCTGGTGGCAACTGGAAGAGGATGGTGGTGCCACCTTGGATGGAGGGACCAAAACATCCCCTTAGGAGGATTTTTGGTGTTTTTGATTTTTAAGGCCCCTCCCCCTGCAGTTTTGCCCTGGCAATTTGATACCTTGGCTTTTGGGCGGGAGAAAGAAGAGAGGAATTGCTGCCATCTGCCCAATAATTGTCGCCTTAAATAGGAGAGCTGCCCCCCCCTTCCTGTTAATCCTCTGTCTTCTCTTTCTTCTCCTTCCTGATCAAGTTTTTGCTCCCTTTGGAGGAAAAGCTTCAGAACAGCATCAGGACGCATCTGGCAATATTTGTTTTGTTTCCTTCGCTCTCCCCTCCTCTCCAGGCTCTTTTGTTCTGCTGCTTGATAGATGTGGACAGCTGATAATAGTAGAAAAAAATAAAAAATAAAAAAAGGGCCAGGAGCTGATTCTCAGCAGAGATAGCCGGTTACATTTATTAACTTCAAACATGGGCGTGTGGGCAGAGGAGGGAAATGAGGATGCGGGCGGCAAGAGTCGGTCCTGGGCTCTTCAAGGGGGGGTGCTGATAAAGCCTAGAGGGCGATCTGCTTGCACTTGGGGGGGCTGTGCTTGGGGAGGGGGTATCTGTGTGTGTGCGCACGTGCTTGCAGGGTGTTTTCTTTGCACACCACAATGGGCACCCCAATTTGGCTAGGTGGGTGGGGTGAAAAAATGGATGCATTGGAGTTCAGTAGAACTTCTCTCTCTCCCCCCTCCCCCACTTTCGGCCCCCTCCCTTCCGCTGTCGCTTTCTGCCGAAGAGATTGGAGGTGCTGATAAGCTGAGTTCTTGATCTCTCCCCCTGATAAAGATGGCAGAGTCAGATAAAAGGCGCTTTATCGCCGCCAAACAGATGGCAGAAGGATTGGTCGGCTGCAAGAACAGAACCTGGGAAGGAGAGCGGGGGGGGGGGAGGATGGGGGGGCATGGCAATTTGTTCCATTGCCAATGTGATTAATGCAGGCATTTTAATGATCGGATGGAGGGGGGGCTTTCCTTATGCTCCCTCTGAAATAGATAGAGAGATATAAAAATATTCTTTTTTAAAGGCTCTTGCCCTCCCTGGGTCTGTTTATCAGCCCCAGATGTGACTTGGTTCAAAGTAAGCTTTTAGATCCTAATCAGTGGTTCTGCTAAGTGTAGCAAATGTGTCTTTATAATAAATATTACATAAACATTAAAAAGAGGGCTATCCCCCCTCCCCCCCCCCCCAACATCCAGGGTTGGCAGTGCGCTCCAGCCAGCAGGATGGGCAACCAGAGATCTGTGCCTGGCTGCTTCTGGACTGGCTCAAACTCTGTCTGGCTTGATTTGAACTCACCTCTAGATATTCATTGTGGGTGTGGAGCTCCTCCTGGACTTGTGCAAAAAGTCCAGTGCTCAATAAGAGGGGCAAAGCGCCCACTTAGCCTGGCACTGGCCTCAGTTGTGGCCTGAGAAACTTTTTGCCCATGTCTGCAAACCCGGGAAGCGCTCCAGAGCAGCTCCTGAGTTTGGACTTACCGGGCCCTCCCGGATCTTTTTGGCTTTGCTCTGTTAAATAAGGAAATAACACCTGGAATGTTTGTCCTCCTCCTAAAGTGGGCTGAGGAATTCTGGGAGTTGAAGTGCACAGGTCTTAGTTGCCAAGTTTGGAGACAGACCCCTGGATTAGAACCATTGAGTTGCACACACTATGAATTAATATATTCCAAAGACTTTGCTGCAAAATGACCGTTTTAAGCAATATTATAAACAAGCTTATAATCCTCCAAAGCCAGCTCCTCCCTGTCTTTTCTTTAATCCTCGAAATAACTGAAATGAACTCAGAAGGAGATTATGCACAGGCACACACAAATATATGTGTATAAAAGTTGCCCCAAGTCTACCAGGGCTACAGAAGTTGGCATCAGAATTGGTTCTAGTACAGGGTGGCACACTGCCCTTGTTTTATGACCGTGGAATACACTCTGTCCATGCCCAGGACACCCCATTCTAAGGCAGCACATGTATGTCCCGGAGCTGAGCTGGCTCCCAACCTAGAACCTTGTTTGCTCCCTTGGTGGTTCTCAGCCACCCTGCCCCGAAAGGGCTTTGTGCTTCTTTGCGAGGGAATATGTTTGTTTTGCATGGAGTGTTTGTCTTTTCTTTTTGCAAATAACCAATCCAGCAGCTGTTTTTAGCTTACAACCCTTCCTTTCTATTTTGGTTTCTGGCCTGCCGTGGGAAGTTGGAGTGTTTTTGTGTCGTAATGTTTGTGACTCTCTTTGTTGACCGCAGCATGTTCTTTACAGCATGGGATGTTGCATAGCAAATAATTTTGTGCAAATAGCTAGCATCCTTTTTTAGGGGGTCAAGCGAGTGGGGTTCAAGGATGGGGAGAAAGGAACTGGTTGGTAAGCAAGTGGCTCTTTTTTCCCCCCAGGCGATAAACACAGGAATGTTTCCCTGCGTCTCTTCGGCTCACATTTATGTCTGAAAGTGTGAATTTAGCCCATAGTATTGATGGCAGTAATGAGGTGCTAATTAATACACAGTGGGGTGGGTGGCTGCTCCGGCTTTGTGGAGCCGGCTGTTTTTCCTGCACTGAGTGCTGACTTCACAGCTTCCTTCGGCAAAGGACCTACAAGGAAGTTGAGGCTTTGTCAGCAGTCTCAGCATCTTGCAAGACTAATGCAGACTGGAGGACACCCCACTGACGAGGGCACACGAAGGACCAGCTTCCCAATGTTTTGAGGCTGGTGGTGGGCTGGAGCTGAGCTGCCCAAATGACAGCTTTAAAAACGGGGCATTTTTGTTGGTGAACTTACGGTCCTGAGGCTCAAGAGTAGGCTTGCAGTGGCAAATTGTGTCCAAGGTGACTAAGCCAAGGGACCATACTAGACCTGCTGGTAGAAATCCCTCCTCCAGCAAAGTGGAATTTGGAAGGGATGAGGATTGGAGGCTTTGAGAATCTGCAGATTTCCTTGCCCGACCTGGGAGGTTGTGAAGGCTTTCTAATCATCTGTTGGATCTGACAAGACCTTGTTCCTAACATAGAACAAAATGAGGAGGTAGAATGGATTTGCATCTGCAGATGGAAAGCCACTTGTAGATGTTCTGGTTTATTGGGTTTTATAAATCCTTTTTAAATAGAAAACCAGCAAGCCTTTCTGCCTTATGGGCTTATTCCCTAAATGGATGGAGGCTTGTTAAATGTGTGTGAATCTTTAAAAAGGGGTTGGTCTCCTTATTCTTGCATTATGTTTTCTGCCTGTGGACTGGAAGGAATGTTTCATTCTGATTCTCCCAAAAGGCAGATAAAGCGATAAAACCCTGTTTCTGGGCTGTAGCATTTGGATGTAGGTTGAATCCTCTTATGCATATGGATGTGCATGCACAAGTACAAATTGTGTATGTGGGTGGGTGGGTGGGTGGGTGGATGGATGGATGGATGGATGGATGGATGGATGGATGGATGGATGGATGGATGGATAGATAGATAGATAGATAGATAGATAGATAGATAGATAGATAGATAGATAGATAGATAGATAGATAGATAGATAGATAGATAGATAGATAGATCGATAGATCACTATTTGGTTGACTTAGCAACCACATAGCTAGACTTTTTGAAGATCTGTCTCCAACCTTGACCATCAGGTCTTCCAACAGCATCCCTATTGTCCTTCTTACTGAGGTCATCCTCCTTGCTGCTGGCTGTCCTCTTCAGCTCTTCTAACTTTTCCAGTGTTAGAAATTACTCAAGAGAACTGGGTGAGCCGTACACACCCATCACAAGAAGAACACTATTCTGGAACCAGAAGAACACTCTATGTCCTCTCCCCTGGAATACCTGTCCTTTATGTTTCATGAGTAGGAGGAGCTGGCTTTCATTTGTCAGAATGAGGTCACTTCTTGGTTTCTGAGGTGTTCAGACTAATACAACTTTACTGCTGTTTCTGCTGTTTGGGAGGCCACAACCTCAGTTGGCAGCAATGGGAAGGAGCACAACTGATGCAAGCTGGGGAGGAAGACAAACACTCTTGCAGGTTGGATTAAAAATTTGTAGAGTTGGAAGGGAATCATCCTATCCTGTTTCCTGCAGTGGTCAAAGCAAAAACTATGAGAAGTGGATGATGGCTGAATGTTGGAAGTATCTTCCTATCTTCAGTCTCCGTTGGCTGCTCCGCAACCTTTAGGCTTCTCCAGCTCTTTGTCAGTCTTCTGGTCCTAATCATCCAGACCTGAGACCAGGAGTCTTTCCCTGTTGTGGCTCTCCTACAACTGGGAGGTAGGCTGCCTACACGAAGGGAGGTCTCCCAGCCAATTGATTGGTAGCCAGCCCTTGATTCTACAGCTTTCTTCCTCCGCCCTGGGAAGGATTCCTCTGTACCTTCTTTCTCTTCCAGCAAGCAATAAAACCCAAAGAGCACAGAAGGTGTTTCAGGGTGGAGGTTTCAGCCTCTCCTGTGGTGCTCTGACCAGCCTGTCCCTGGCTTTTCTTTGTAGCCATTAGCCTGGAATGGAGTGGGAGCTGTTGGCACGGCCACACTGTTGCTGCTGGCCTGCCCGGCAGCAGAACTTGTCCTGCAGAATGACGAGGAGGTCCTGCCCTTTAGCAGCTTCCTGGCACCAGAGGTGCCTCGAGAGTTCAGATGTGGTTGCTTCCAGGTTGGGCAATGGAATGTTTACAATTAGGGCTGCGTGGTTTGGAGCGGCAGAGAGAGAGAGAGAGAGAGAGGATCTGGCTCCAGCTTGCAGCAGTGTAAGAAGCCTCCTTAGAAAACGTGGGAAGACACAAAGCCAGCAAGCCAAATTTCACAGGTCGCCGTGAGTGATCTGGTTTGTTCTTAATAAATAACTCTTGCATGTTTTGTTATTTGGCACGTGGCTGGGTCCAGCTGCCCACACAAGGCTGACTGTGAAACGCCCGTCCCTTGGGAACCCTGTCCAGATCCCTCTTCTCCCCCTTTGGCTTCTAAAATTGGAGCAGGCGTCCTCAGTACCCCGTCAGGCTGACTCGCGATAGTGCCTTGGTTTTCCAAGTGAGCTGGTGGGAAACTGTGCTTGGGGGGGGCACCGGTTACCAGCAGCAGTATGCAGATGGTCCTCGACTTATAACCATAACTGAGCCCAAAGTTTCCATTGCTAAGCAAGACAACTGAATTTTGCTCCATTTTACAACCTTTCTGGCCACCGTTGTTAAGCGAATCACTGCAATTATTATGTAAATCCAGCTTCTCCACTGATTTTGCTGGTCAGAAAGTCGCAAAAGGCGATCACACGACCTCCCACCCCCCGGGGACACTGCGACCGTCATAAATAGGAACCAGTTGCCAAATGTCCGAATTTTGATCACGTGACCATCAGGGTGCCGCAGCGGTCATGAGTCACTTTTTTCAGTGATGTTGTAACTTTGAACGGTCACTGAATGAGTGGCTGTAAGTCGAAGTTATACCTGTATACAAAACTGTGCCTGGCCTGGACCCTGCCTTCCAAGCGTTTCTCTGCCAGACAGGAATTGTATAGCACACGTTTGCAGGATGCCCAGCTGGTGAGGGCTGCGTCGGATGTGCCCGTGTTTCGGTCGGTGAGAACCCTCCCTTCCCCTGCTTCTGAGTCACCGGCCACCTAGGGAGCAGCCTAATCCTTTGGGCCGTGGTAGGCGAGGTGTAAGAGCTTCAGGAAGAAGCACGGATTGTACCAAAGCAGAAACCTGATGGTTATCTTGCATCTTCTGGTGGGTCTGGCCCGGCACTGAAGCCTTGGCCAACCAGCGCTCCTCTAGGGATGAAGCCCCTTGGGGGTATTTGGGGGCAAGAGCCAGTTGGGTCATTGGGGAGCCCTGAAGCCTGGCCAAGCCGACTCTTTCCAACTGGGATCCCCGTTTGACACATCCCTAAAACGGTAAGCGATCCAGGAGGACGTTTTTGTATGTAGTGAGAGGCAAAGAAAGTTGGATATTTACATTTTTGCTTCTCCCAGTGGAGTCTCATCCTGGCACTGGTCAGAATCTCTTTGCCAATCTCAGAGTGTGTCAAAATAAAATCACATGGCATTTTGGGAATATCTACTGGAAGTTTCATGCAAGAAGTTTCCAGTGATTCATGCTCATAACTTGCAACTGGGGTTTGAAATCCAGATGTTTACCTCGTGTTTTCATGTCCTTTTTGACCTGAGCCGGAAGCCTGTCACAAAGCAATAAGTGCAGGCCGGAAAGTTGAATTTGAATCTGTGTGTGTGTGTGTGTACACTATTTGAACTAGTCTGTGATTGCCACATTAGAAGCAATGTGCCTGCCCATTAAAGCAGATCTGAGTCTCCATTTTCTGAGAGAGCGTTGGCAAAGAACGCTGCATAGATTAGCTGGCAGATTTCCTAACTGGCAGTTTTTTCAACTCATTCACACAGCGTACTGCAAAGTTTAGCTCGCAACCACATTTTCCTGAATTACAGATTGTCACAATTCTGCCTGCTAGTCTTCCAAGAGTAGAGGCCAGTCACTAAGTTCCAACAAGCCCAATTTCAGCAACCCTATCAGAAACCCTGATACCAAGCCACCTCTGATCGTCCGATTAATTAATGCACATATGTGATTCCTGGCTTGCCGGTGTAAACTTTTTGCTTTGTGGGCTGTTCTTAAGGCAAGAAGGTGGCAGGGTAGGGGGTCTCTCTCTCTGAGGGAGGGAGGCCTGGTGACCAGTGGTTGGAGGAGAGGCTGGTTGAAAACGCATCTTTTGTGTGGAGGAGTGAATAAAGAGTATTGTATTTCCTGCTTGCAAAGCAGAAGAAGAGCAGATTCCTGAATTCAAAGTGAGTGATGTATATTATCAGTGAAGGAAAGAGACGGGTAGGGCTGGTCACCTTTAGGTTGGTGAGTACCTCTTGAGGGGACCCCCTATAAATTTATGTTTAAATTTATATTGATTTAGAATATTTATATCCTTCCTCCCTCCCTCCCTCTCCTTTCTTCCTTCCTTCCTATCACCACAGTCTCAATGGTGCAGGAATTGCAAGTAATATGAGTGTTTATAAAAGAAATTTCTAAGGCTAACCAATTCCAAAATGAATGTGGGCAGCTGGCAGCTTAAAAAAACAAAAAAAACAAAACAGAAGATCAGGAAAGGACAAATAAGTCTGAAGAAGACATTCAGAGTAAGAGGAAGAATATGTGAAATACTGAAGTCATAAACAGCATTAAAATAATTTGAACTGGACCTCTTTTGATTCACCAGGAGCTCTCTGGAGTAACTTGGTTTTCAGGGTTTGGGGAAAGCTGACACAATGAGCCAACTGTACTTTATTATTAAGGTTTAAGGCTGCTGGTAGTTTATTTTAATATATTAAAACATCTACAGTATAATGGTGATTATGGAAACAATAAGGCTGAGCACTCACGGCCTAGGCCAATGCATGGTTTTTTAAGCCCCCTCCTAAACAGAACTACAGTCCCGGTGACAGGCAGTTCCATCCCCTAGATCTTATCTTTGGAGATGCTCAACAGGGGGGTCTCAACCGTGCTCACCTGGAGGGACAGATGGCCCTTCTGTTGTCTCTGGAATGGTGGCATGACTGGACCAGTGCTTTGATTTGGGTCTCAAGGAAGAATCCCATCTCTTGATTCCTCTTTGAGCAGTGGAAGAGCCCCCACATAGCCATAGGATGCTGGTCCTGCACAATTTCTTATGGGTTTCCTCCCTGGGCACAGCATTCCCCATAATGCTAGCAGGCATCTTGAAAAGATCCTGCCTACAACTTGGTCCCTTCCCAGTGGAGGCCATGAAGGCAAGGTGAAGATAATGCCAACTAAAAGTTTAGGAGACTAAAGTATCTCCCCTTTAACGAAGCTAAAAGGGATCAGGAAGTCCCATGACTCCATAGACTTGAACTCATGCAAATTCTGGAAACCTTTCTTACTCCTAAAGCTACAAATCAAGGTTGTCCATTCCAGTTGGATGTGCAGAAATTCAGAAATGGTGGTGATTTTTTTTAAGGGGCTGGAGAAATGCATGGAGGATCAGGTCCCCATAGTGTTTCTACTGTTGGTGGCTGTGTTTCCTCTCTGAATACCAGCCTATGGACTTGGAAGACCACAGGGAAAGAGGACAGGATCTCCCCATCCATGTTGGTGAGCCTCCACATGCCTCTGGTTGGCCAAAGCTGGGCTGATCAGCCCTTGATCTGAATAACTTCAGAGCTCTTGCAACAGCTCTAGAAATGGGTTCACTAGACCTTCCCATAAGACTCTCGATTCCCACATTCACTAAGCCGATTCCCACATCCACTGAGCCACAATCTGTTGTAACAGTAGTTGTTGAAAGTGCCACAATAGCTGGCTTCCCATATAGAACCAGGGCCAGACCAACCATGCTATGGCTTTCCACCATATGTGAGGACAGCCATTGTGCTGTGACATGGGAATGTTCCTTTCTGCGATGGTGTGGCAAAATTTCCCAGGTTGAACAGAAACCCAGCTGTCCAGACTGGCCATTTGGAGTAAAATGGCTATGGAGATTCTCAGTCCTCCAGGTTGTCCCACAGGTGCTTTTTCAGGAGGCCACTGGACTTTCTTTGTTTTTCTTTGAAGACGTTTCGCTTCTCATCCAAGAAGCTTCTTCAGCTCTGACTGGATGGTGGGGAATGGAAGGATTTATATTCCTTTCAGACAGCTGGTCATTTGCCTTCTTTTAGAGTCATTGAGGCCACTTGGAGGTTTGTCTGTGTCCTCAGGGTCACCTGAGTGGTGCAAAAGGAAGTGGAGCCTTCTTGGAACTGCTGAAAGGATTGTGTCGTAGACCAGGGGTCCTCAACCTTGGCAACTTTATGACTTCTGGACTTCAACTTCCAGAATTCCTCAGCCAGCTTTGCTCAGGTTTGTTGACTGAGGAATTCTGGGAGTTGAAGTCCACAAGTCTTAAAGTTGCCAAGGTTGGGGACCCCTGTCATAGACTGGAGATAGGTGATGTCATATCCCTCCCCCTCTGTTGAGGGAGGGCTGTTCAGTTTTGACATAGATGGCCTCTTCTATGCAAATGACCAGCTGTCTGCAAGGAATATAAGTCCTCCCCTTCCCCACCATCCAGCCAGAGCTGAAGAAGCTTCTGGGATGAGAAGCAAAACGTCTTCAAAGGAAAACAAGAAAGTCCAGTTGCCTCCTGAAAAAGCACCTTTGGGACACTTGGGAGAGGAAGAAAAAAGATGACTCTTCATTGTTCTGTAGCAACGTGTTTTGGGGAAAGGATGAAACAGAGAGAGGAATGCAGCTATTGACCTTGGCTGGAATAGGGTTAAGGAATGAATGTTTCTGAGTCATCCCAGATAAGCCCACTGCCTCTTCCTCCTCCCTCTCCCTCCCTCCTCTCCAAAATATCTGTTATCTCCTCCCTTCTCACATCAACGAGTTTGGGTGACATTTCTGATTTGCCAGCGCAGAAGGAAATGCCTTTAATTTGTTAATAATCTCTCCGACTATTGCCCTGATGATTGCTTATTATGAAAGCTAGCACATTTTCTCCCTCCCCCCCCCAAAAAAAATCTGGGACTTAGCCAAAGTCGGGCGTGGGTGTGCATCGGCCAAAGCATCCCTTTTGTGAGACTGGATACCTCAGTGGGTGAACAGGCTGCAGAGGCTGCCTGCAACTGCGTTCGTTGCGTCAT